TGTATCATAAATCTAGAACTGGAAAGTATCTCAGAGGTCACCTAGTCTAACTTCCTTTTTATTCATGGGGAAACTGAGGGCAGGGGAGGGTAAGTAACCTGTCCAAGGACACACAGGTCACGTCAGAAGGAGGATTCAAATCTTGGTTCTCTGACTTTGGAGCCAGGGCCAACCTCCTTCAGCCTCTGCTGGTCACTAGGGGAAGATCACTCCCCCTCCCCACCCCCAACCAATCTCCTTGTTAGGGTTATCTGGTCTCCTGAGATGGGACCCCTTCAAGTCAAGTCAAGCCAACAAATCTTTATTAGGTGCTTACTGTACGCCAGACGCTGTGCTAAGCTCTGGGGATATAAAGAGAAAGGAGAAAGCTGAGCAGCCCAGAGACTGGCTTAAAAGGTCACAAAGGCTGGCAGTAGCAAAATCAGGATTCAAGCCCAGACCTTTTGACTCCCGGTCCAGTGCCCCTTTTACTAACATTGCATGACATCTGGTTCCCAGGGGCTCCTGTGAATGAGCTGGATGGTTGGATGAGAGCTGCTGAGGCCAGGGCCCCTCCTTCCCCTCCCCCAGCATTCTTCTCGGAAGAATGACATTTACCTTTGACCTTTCTGACCTTTGCCGTCATAGAGCCCATTGCAGAGTCCTTGTTGGAGAAGGAGCCTCCAGGAGAGACAGCTGGGCCCCTGGAGGACTTGGTGTTTCTGGAGACCAAAGAAGAAGTGGGGGCTGCACATGCAGCAGCCCCAGTTGCTTCTGCTGAGAGCTCTGAGCTGATAGAGCTGGCTGAGCCTGCTGGCCCCCCTGAACCACCAGCTCAGGAGAGCCTCATCGACTTGTGGCAGAGTGATGGGATTGCCCCTCCCGAACCCACAGAATGGGAGCTGCAGGCTGATCTAAGGGCTCCAACTCCACCTCAGGAGGGGCCTGGGGCCATACTGGAAGAGTCTCAATTAGTAGCCCCCCCAGAGCCTCCTCCACTGGGGGAGGGGGCCCCAGAGCCCCCCATACTGCCTGCTGACAATAGCGCCAACCTCCTGAACTTCGATGAGCTGCCTGAGCCTCCAGCTACATTCTGTGACCCTGAGGAGGGTGACCGTGAAGCTCCTGATGTGGGCGGGATGGAGGGGTCCCACCCTGGCTCTGAACAAGATGTCCTGGTGTCTGAGACCCTGCCCATGGACTTGGAGGAGCTGGAGCCAGAGCAGGAAGCCCACTTGCTAACGAATGGAGAAACTACCCAGAAGGAGGGGACACAGGTGGGGGATCAGAGGGAGGCCTTCTGGAGCCTGATCTAGGGGAGAGGCAGGAGGAAGGGGTGTGAGCAGTTGGGGGTTTTTGTGTGGGAGTAGGCTCTGGCCTCTATCAGTTCCCTCTCAATGTCCCTCCCCTACTGGACCCATCTCATCTTCAGGTGCCACCCCCCATGTTAGTCACCATCCCTTTCTAGGGCCAGTCCAGCCCTTGATTTTCCTTCCTACTCCAGAACTCTATTCACAGAGCCTTTTCTTCCCCTCCCCACAAGATCAATGCCTCTGACCACTCCTTTTTTCTCTCAATCCTTTATCAACACCTCATCACCCCTCCTCCTCTTCTTTTCTTGCTTAGAGCCCCTCTCCCCCATCAGTCACCCTTCCCTCTCCGCTAGGCTGCATCAGCACCCTTCACTGACCCCTCCCCTGCTCAGGATCTAATTGCCTGGATTAATTATGAGGAAGTCCAAATTCTGACCAGAAATGGGGCCGGTTGGGGGCTCCCATACATCCTGCCTCAGTATTTGTCCTTTTGCCCAGGACCCCAAAGCAAGGGATCTGCATTTCCCTGGCAACCAGTGATGGCATCAAAGAGATTACCTGTCTCTGGTTGCTGGGGTAATGTGCTCAGTGCCTAATAGGGCCTTCCCTTCACATGTTCCTCCCTGCCCCACTCCTCCCCCTCAGCCTACATAAAACACCTTGGGAAAAGGTGAAACTGCTGGCCAGCTGAGCCTGATGACCTTGAGTTTTCTCAATGCAGGCCAGTGAGGGATATTTCAGCCAATCACAGGATGAGGAGTTTGCCCAATCAGAAGAGCTATCTGCTAAAGCCCCACCTCCTGTATTCTACAACAAACCCCCAGGTAAGGGATTGGGTGGGATGGAAGGCTGGCTGGGCAGGGATTCCTGTTGATGAATCCAGTTCCTGGGCTCTTAGAGGCCAGGCCTTTTGTCACGCTCAAGGTGTTTACCTGTATAAAGATCATAGGATTTAGAGTTGTGTTCCTCCCCCATTTTATATGTGAGGAAACTGAGGCTCAGGTACTGAGCATGTCCCAGTTGTTTATTTAAAAACAGGTCTAGGGGCAGCTAGGTGTTGCAATGGATAGAGCACTGGCCCTGTATTCAGGAGGACCTGAGTTCAAATCCGGCCTCAGACACATGACACTTACTAGCTGTGTGACCCTGGGCAAGTCACTTAGCCCCATTGCTTAGCCAAAAACAAAAAACAAAAAAAACCCCAACCATAGGTCTAAGGATAGTTTTGTGAGTGATCTCCATGGGTTCTCTTCCCCACCTCGCTTGTATGCTACCTTAGCAAGCACTGAGCCAGGTCCTGAGGGAAGACTTCTATAGTTGGGTGCCATGTCAAGAAGAGTGTGTATGGGGCTGGGGGAAGAAGGGAGCGCCATTGTTTAGAACATCAGAATTGACATTAGCAAGACAGCTGGATTTGAACCCAGAGGACCTGGGTTTGAATTTCAACTATGCCATTTATTATTACCTGTGTGACCTTGATCAAGTCCAGAATGTTCTTTTTCTAGACCTCACTTTCTTCCTCTGTAAAGTGAGGGATTTGGACTCAATCTCTATGATCCAGTGAAGGTCACAGCCAGGGTGGAGAGCTAGGGGACAAGGAGAGGGCCCAGGTAGCTCTTCTGCTTCTCCTGATTATGTCTTCACTCTCCCACCAGAGATTGACATTACCTGTTGGGATGCGGACCCTGTGCCTGAGGAAGAGGAGGCCTTTGGAGGCAGTGTCTAGCCCTTCCGGCTAGGTCTTCCCAGGCAGACACCATGTGAAGGCCGCCCACTTTCTGGGCTCCATGCCAGCTGGCCCGTCGCGCCTTCGTCCGCAGCATTTCCACCTGGTTGGTGGTGACTCTGGACTCCCGGCCCCTGTCCCGAAACGGGGCCACCTCCCCATTCCCCTGTCCTGCCATGGGGGGGCCCAGACTTTTATAGCTTTTCTCCCTTTTTTTTAAAAGTTGATAGGAAAAGTGTACAGTTGACTGGTTTTCCTCTCTGTTGGTAGTGAGATGCTGTTTCACACCCTCCCCCTCCATATCCCTTGGGATTGAGGAGGTAGATCTCTGTACCCCACTTCAGCTCTCTTGGCCTGTATCAGAGGCCCAGACCCCAGGCCTAGCCAGCCATCCCTGGGGTTGCTTTCAGACTCCAGGGAGAATGGTTCTTATACATATCCTTTTCTTAGTTTTTGTTTTGTTTTGTTTTGTTTCTTGAAAAAATATCACTCACTGCATTCTCTGTCCAGGGCTTGGATAATTTGCACGAATTTAAAAACATGGCAATAAATGGCTCTGTGGGCTCTGGTTCCATGGGACCCCTCCCTCCCCCTCCCCCCAGGAGTAACCCAGCTGGGGTCAGGCTAAGGTGGAGTCCTCAGGCCAACATGGGTTAGGGTGACAGTAAAGAGACTTCTATCCCTGTAATGGATCCTGAGTGAATGGGAGGCGGGGGGTCTCTACCATCTGCCATCCTCCCCTGGCCCTGGCCTTTCAGCCTTCTCTAATGTTGCCCTCCTGCTGGGCAGGTCCCGGGCTGGAGGCCTCTATATGGCTCACATGGTCCCCTTGGCTCAGCTGGGCCATGGGAGGGGCCTAGGTAGTAGGGTTGTAGGGGTACTCCCCCCTTCCCCCAGGAACCAGCCCCCTCTCCCAAACTGCCCTCCTCTTGTCGCTTGGTATCCTTTTTCACGTTTAGTAACTGTTTTTGGAAAGCACAAACTTCTGTAATGGCGTGTGCTCATGTCTGTTAATAAAGAAATCCAGATCCAGGCCCTGGCTCTGGACTTCCTAGGGGCTGGGAGGGCAATCCCAACATATCTTCCATCCTCCCACTCCCCCATTTCCCTAGACTCTGTCTTCATCCCCCAGCAGGTATAACTGGTTGAGGAAGCAGGGTGGGGCAGCCTCTACCAGGTAGGGACAAAAGTGGGAGCAAAAGGAGAGCCTGAGACATGGTAATTTACACCACTAGGAGGAACTAAAGCCCCCAGTCATTTGCACTAGCTCTTGTAACACAAGATCATTGTATTTAGAAGTAGGAAGGACATAAGAGATTGTAGGATCATAGATGGAGATTGGGAAGGAGCCTCAGAGGCTATGGACTCTAAATTCTTCATTTTACCAATGGAGGAAACTTAGAGATGTCAGATGACTTACCCAAGGTCACAAAGGTTGTAAGTAGCAGAATCCCCCCCCCAATCTTGTATTCTTTCAACCATGACAGTTTTGCATAGGAACCTCAAACAAAGGGCCCTTTGCCTGAGCTGGGAAGAGAAAAAGGAAGGGGTCACTGGCCCAAAGTGTGTGGATCAAATGTGGTATAAGATGATTGGACACTGAACTGTCCTCTCTGTCCTGTGACCCTGACTTGGGGTGGACAGTTCTCAAGCCAGGCCTACTACTCTTGTCCTGCAGAGATTGGAAGAAACTGCTGGAGCAGATTTAGCAGCTGCTCTCCCGGCCCTTGGATAACTATTGATCACCACTGGATGCTGGAATAGCAGTATCTGGGATGATTCATGGAATTATAGGGTTTAGAGAATATCATCTAGTCTAACATTTTACATAGGTGGAAACTGAGGCACAAAGAGGATAACTTATCCCAGGTCACAGGTGGCAAAAAGCAAGAGCTTGGCCTTAACTTCTGACTTTATCAATCTTTCCACTCTGACATGTCAATTATTGGCTGTGTGACTGTGGGGAAGTGACCTCCCCATTTCTAAAATAAGGCTGCAGTTAACTTGACCACTGCCAGTCCTTAAGTTTGGCATATCCAAGGCAGTGGTGATATTTTTCTCATAGGATTTAGAGGTAGAAGACTTCAGAAAGCATCTGAAGGAGAATTCTGCCCAAATATCTGTGCCTCCAGGGAAAGCCTGGTTTGCCAGGACTGGGTCCACACTCCATGTTTCCGAATTTCATTCCTTGGTGTTCAGAGGCAATAAACCAGTGTGGTGTGTTGCAAAGAGCCCTAAAATTTGAACCACAGACTGAGGAGTTCAAATTCTGGCTCCTCTACTTACTAGCTAGCTATGTGACCTTGGGCAGCCACTTATCTAATCTGGGCCTCGGTTCCCCTAAAGAGGGAAAGACAATATTTTGCGGTTGTAAAACAAGGTTTAAAACAGACTAATCCTAGGGTTCTTTTCCAGCTCTCATTTCTATGATCTAGACCCTCCCCCCCCAGTCTTAAAGAAGAGGAAGCTGAGCCCCAGAGAGAAGAGACTTTCCCTGGGTCTTACAGGTAGCTAGTGGCAGAACTCGGGTCTTGGGATTTCGGATACAGGTTTTCTACTACTCTCACTTTAGCTTGCAGAGAGGTCTCTGAAGGTGGAGCTGGCAGAAATTAGGCTACAGGCGAGGGGATCAAACATAGTTGGAGGGATGCCTGGGGTAGGGGTCGGGGACGCCCCTTTTCCCCTTTATCCCCCACCCCTGGGTGCAAGCAGCAGGCTCTCCCTCCCGTTGTACCAAAGCCGATCACACACCTTTATTATCCTCAAAATGTAACAAACAGGGTAAGAAATAGCCCCGAGTCCCAGGGAAGCGTTTTAAAAACCCCCGAGGCCTAAGAAAGGAGTCTGAACGGCCTGCCCTCGGGGAGGGAGAAAGGGAGGAAGACGCGGGGCAGGGCAGGGAGTGGGGCAGCGCTGGCTCCGGTCCGGGCGCTTAGCCCCCGGGGTGGGGCCAGGGGGCAGAGGCTCGGGCCACCCCCTCTATACGGCTGTAGTCCTCCCGAACAAGGGGATGGAGACGGGCAGGCGCCAGGCTCCGTGCTCCAGTGGGTCGCGGTTGCTCAGCTCCGAGTCGGTCCAGCTGGGGAAGACGCGGCGGGAGCGTTCGGCCTGCAGGTAGAGGGCGGGGCAGGGCTGGCCCGGCCGCGGGGCGCTGGGCAGGTGCAGCGCCGACGAGTAGCCCCGGTCCAGAAAGAGCGGCTTGTAGTTGGGCGGCTGCTCCTGCTTCTCGGAGCTGTCGCGGCTCAGGAAGGGTGTCACGATCTTGCGGTAGAGGCCGCGCGTGTCAGTGAGCACCTCGCTGTAGGGCGGCGGAGGCTCAGCCATCAGCACCGCCTCCTCGTAGCACGGGGGCTTGGAGAGGTCCGATTCGGCTGCGAGAAGCCCATGGCCAGGAGTCAAGTTCAGGGCCCTGGGGACACGTTTCCCTCCCCGGGTCCCCACCGCACCCTCCACTCCCTATCCTTTCAGGCAGCCCCCGACCTCCCTCGCGGCCTCCCAAGCACTCCCCTCATCCGACTCCCAGCTCCCAAGGCTGACCGAGGTTCCCTCTTTCCAGGCTGCCCTTCCCCCCTCCTCATAGCCCCCTAGGTCGGTCAAGCCTCCAGCCCAACACCCTCCCAGGTTTGTGCAGTCCCGTCCCCTCTTCCTGGTCGCAGCCCACTTAGGGCGCCCACCTTGGCGCGGGTAGCTCCAGGGCCGGGGTGGCACCAGGACATGAGGCGGGTGCGGATGAGAGTGCGGATGCGAGTGGGGCGGGTGCGGGTGATGGTGGGCTGGGTGGGGCTGATGCTGTGGTGGGGCCGAGTGGTGCAGGGCGTGGGTATGGCCGGGGGCCTCCAGGCGGGCTCGGGCCTGCGGGGCCAGTCCTGGGGCCAGGCCCAGCCCTAGTCCGGGGGGGCTCCCGGCCAGGCTGCCCTCCAACTCCAAGGGCTCCAGTGGCTCCAGGGGTTCGAGCTCCAGGGCGCGCAGGTTCTGCTCTCGCAGCCGCTCCTCGTGGCGCCGCTTGAGGCGGCGGCGGAGGAAGCTACAGAAGCAGCAGAGCAGGACCACGAGGCCCCAGATGAGCCAGAAGCCGGCGAAGCAGGTGAGGAAGGTGTAGGTGCCCTGGGACATCACCATCTTGGCGGCAGCGGGCGAAGGGCTGGGCTGGGGTAGGGGCGGCCCGGGCTCAGTGGGCGCCCCGGGCCCGAGCCATGGAGTCACTCAGCAGCCCTCTCACTCCCCTGCGAACATCGCGGGCCTGGGGCGGGGGCCGGAGGCCGGAGCAGAGGACCCCTCAGGGGCCGGCTGCTAAGAGCTGAGCCGCGGGCCTCACTGTCCGTGGAGCGCTGACCGAGGCCGGGGGCTGCCCACGTCCGGCGGGGGCGGGCGGGCGCGGGAGGCAGCGGCTGGTCGCCCAGAGCCTGCCCCGACTCATTCCCATCGCTCCCGCAAGCCCCGCGGCGTGGGCACCTATTCAGCCACGGGCGGGCTGGATCTGTGAGGGGCAGAGCAGAGGGTAGGGAGGATGGTCAGCTCAGGACTGGGCCTGCTTGGTCTTTACATGCCTGTTTCCTCCCTCTCCCTTCACCTTCTTTCTCTCTCCTCTTTGCCTTCTACATCCTCCTTCTCTCCTTCCTTCTCTGCCTCCCCCTCCCTGTGTTCCTTGCCTGCCCCCCATTCCCCATATCTTCCTCTTTACCTCTTCTCTCTCTTTTCCTCTTCCTCCTTTCCTTTTCTATCTCTCCCCTCCTTGCTGGCCTAGCTCAGAGGGTAACTGTTTCCACTCACTCCACCTTTCAGAGCAGACACTCTGATCTCGTCCCTCCCTCCACTATCTTGCCCCTTGATCCTCCAGTCCCTTGGGGAATCAGCATGTGACTTGTGGTTGGATTGAGAGGACCAGTAGGATGGATAGTTTCGGTCTAGCAACTTGGGGGCTGGGGAAGGAGGTATAGTTTGCAGGTTGAAGTGAAGGGAGGCACCACTGCTGAACTGAAGGCAATTAAGCCTGGGGGAAGTACTGCAGTCCAGGGAACTTGGTTTAGGGTAGTATCTGCAAGACTCTGAAACCAAGAAACCTTGAACCCAGACTAGAACCACTGTCCCTGAACTAGTTGGGTGGTCTGCAGGAAGTGGAAGGAGGGGCTGAATTGTCCAGTTGTGCCAGAAGGGGAGGAGGAGCTGACAAAGTGGGTGGGAAGGAAAGCCTCTAAAAGGGGCAATGTAGGCCAAACAGGCAGGAGGACCAGCTGCCCTCTGACCCCTAAAGAACATTTGCTTTCAAATGATCTGTTGCTTTCTTTAGCTTTCGCCAGACCCTAATGTATTTTCAGGGATTGGGTTGGTTCAGAGGGCTGGCAAAATAATCTTCCGAATGAATTGGTCTGACCATTGAAACCTTCAATCAATTATGAGTTTTCATGTCACTCCAACTCTGAGGATCTTTTGTGACTCTTGCCAACACTAAAGGATTAAACAAACTCAGGCATTACAGTCCCTTTACGCTCTAGATCCAACCCCAGCCTTTTTTCACTGCATTCTGCTCTGTATTCCAGATAAACTGGACTCTAGCTGTTCCCCAATCTTATCCTGGCCTTTCTGGCCTCCATCCTTTTTTAGTAGCCTTCATCTTTGCCTGTTGAAATTCTCTCACTTCAAAGTCCAGTTCCTCTTCCCCAAGGCCTACTTGTTTTTCTAGTTTCTGCCCCACTCCCCCCTGCTCAGATTTCCCTAGAATACCTTGCCTAGATCTCTCCTCTGCCCCATCACAGTCTACCTTGTAATCACATTCATTTGTGTACATGATAGACAACCCCCCCTCCTCATTTAATTACAAACTCCAGGAAAGCAGGGCCTCTATTCCTTTTCAGCTTTCTTTCCCCAGCCTGAAGACAAGGCCTTGCTTAAGGCGGGTGTTCAACAAATTTTCATTGAATTTAATTTGTTAGGGAGGGAAAGTCTGAGGGGAAAGGGAAGGTGTGGAGGGAAGAGAAGGAAGGTGGAGAGAGGGCCGGTGTTGGAGGTCAGGAAGGATGGGAGATCGATAGTGAGGGGGTGAAGGTATGTGTGTAGAAGAGGGCCAATAAAAGGGAAGAGGAGTGCTGGGAGTAGAAGGGCGTCTGTGAGCAGAGCTCTTTTGAAGGAGCCCATTCCTGGCTTCCAGGTCAGCGTTTAATCCTTTACTCATTTCCCTCTCCCCACCCTCCATCTCTCTTCTTCTGTCCCCATTCTCAAATCCTGCTTGATCTCCTCCCCCGGGACCAGAGTCCCCCATTGGCACAGAGTGACTGATGATGTCACTGGAGATGATGACGTCACTAAGGCTTCCCCCGGGTCGGCACACATTCGTTTTCCCAGGTTCGCTCCCTAAATATGGGCAGGAGGAGGGTGTAAGCTCAGGTCATTCCACTGAGATCCCAGGCCTGAAACAGGGCAAAGCTCGGGGTAAGCTAGAGTTTGTTAAAGCCTCAGGCAACCTTAGAAAAGGAACTCCAAACTTCCCTTAACCGTGCATTTTAAATCCTCTCTCCGGGGAGCTGTCCAAGCCTTGGAAGAAAACGACAGAAAGCTCCTCCGCGACCGTCAGTCCCCCTTTCATGTCCCAAACCTTACTAGGGACTTGTTCTCAACAAGTTCACCCATTTTCTCTTCCCAGATCTCCATCTGAGCGCGACCGCACAGGGTAAAAGCTTTGGGTGGGTTCCAGCGGCCCTCTGGCACCCTGAGAGCCTCAATGCACAGAGCTGACAGGTCGTTTCAGATATGTGTGGGGGCGGGAAGCGGGGCGGGGCATGAGACAGCTACAGAGGCCGAAGTCAGAAAAGTAATCTCAGGGTCCTGGAGGGAGGAAGGTGCGAGAACTTGACCGGTCTCCCTCCGGATACTTAAAGAGAGCCGCGGAATATAGTAATAATAGCCTACACTTCTATAACTCTTGCTTAACACATAGTAGGCGCTTAATAAATGCTTATTGACTGACTAATAAATGTTTCTTTCCTCACAATAACCCTGCAAAATAATGCAAAGAAAGATATAGGGAAAATCAAGCCCAGAGAGATTTAGTGAGTTACTTGCCCACGGTTACGGAGCTTGGAAGCTTAGTGTGGCAAAGTCCACACTAGAACCCAAGTCTCTCGGCTGGGGCTCTTTCCACTACGCCATGGTGCCGCGCTGACTGGAAGTGTCCCGATTTCTCCAACACCTATGGGCATGGAGCCCGTGCCCCTGCCCCTCCCCGCTCCCTAGGCATAGCCTGTAGACATCTATTCTGCCACGCCTCACCTACATGCCACAGACATAACCGAACACATTGTACATGCATGTGCCGACGTCTACACGTGCAGAACAGCGCTTTACGGAAGAGGCCATGGGCCACTCTTCCACCTCCCAAATCCTGGCCTGGCCACCCCTCTATTCCCCAAAGCTGCACACTTGCCTTGGGGCCCTGTTCTCCCGGAGACTCCCGGAGATACCAACCTCCTGGTCTTTACCAACGCCCCCAGACGCTTAGACTCGCAGCCACAGCCTGGGTTTCCCCCACTGGTGGGACACACCCGCCCACTACCATCCAGCCCAGCCCCTCCCCGACACACCTGGGGGAAGCACCCCCAGCCTTCCCGTAGTCGTTTCTGCAGGTGGGGCGGGGGCGAGGCGGGGCTCCGTAAGAGCTCAGGAATAGCTGGGCGGGGGCGGCCTCGTGCCAGGCCCCGCAACGTGCACCCAGCCCGAGAGGTGTTGGTGGTCCAGAGGCTGAGTGGAGAGCCTGGTGAGAGTGAGGGTCCCTTTGTTTCTTCGATGCTCACTGAATGGGGTGGGGAAAGAGTTCAGGGTTGGCCTCTCTCTGCGCTAGCTGCCCGGAACACTCCCTGCTCAGGGTGTCTTTCTCTACCTCCTTCCCGCTGTCGCATTCCCGCCCCCCTCGCTGCCTGTCACACTCCTTCCCTCCCCCATTTCCTTGTCCTCACCCCCTCCCTCTCTCCATCACACTGCATTTCCCTGGCCAAGCCTCTCCAGTCCCCTTTTCTGCCTGAGGGAGATGGCAAGGATGAAGGCTGGCATCTTCTCCTAGAGAGAGTTAAAAATAGATATGGGCATGGGAAATGGGAGCCTCTGCTTCCTCTTCTGGCACAGGGTCTTGGGGCCATTCAGCCGTTAGTGGCTGCCTGGACTCTTTTCTAATGATCATCTGGTTCCTTTGAATCTCCAAGGTCTGGCACCTCAAACCCAGCCACCTCAGCCTTCCACTATGGAAGTGGATTCTCCCTGCCCATAGGTGTTTAGGGCCCCGGGCAGGTTTCTGTTCTTCCCATGGACAGTCCCACTCTCTCCACAGATGTGACCTGACCATCCAGATTTCACAGGGACTTAAAATCCAACTCAAGATCCGTCTTTTCCAGGAAATCTTCCATGATTCCCCCTAGGTGAACCTCTCTCAAACCTTATGTTAACTTTTTGTTTTGTCAAATCTTTAATGTTTCTCTCAGGCTAGACAACTGTGGTTGTCTAACGGATAAGGAGGTCAGCCTCAGAGTCAAGAAGACCTAACCCACCTGGGACACATATTAGCTATATGCCATTGAACAAGTCACAACCTTTCAGACAACTTTCTAAACCTACAAATTATAGATTGTTTTCCACATTGGGATTTTTTTTATACTGAGGAAATCATAGGACCAGACCAAAATGTCTTTCATAGGATCTAAAACTGAGCAGTAATTTGGATCTTATCCAGCCCAACCCCCTCATTTGACTGATGAAGAAACTTGGGCCCTGGGGTGGAGGTGGGGGCAGGGAGTGTTTGAGGTTGCACAAGAAATAAGCAGAGGAATAGGAATAGACCCAGTCTTCTGAGTCCAAATCTTTCCACCATACCACGATGATGCACTTTTCATGTAATGTATATTACAGAAATCAGTCTTATTCCCCTAAACTTTACAGAAGCTGCATGAGGACAGGGACTGTGTTTTGGCTATATTTATCTCCTAGAACAATTCTCTGCACATTTGTTGTTCTGTTGTGTCTGACTCTTTGTGACCCCATTTGGGGTTTCCTTGGCAAAGATGCTGGAGTGGTTTGCCATTTCCTTCTCCAGCTCACTTTACAGAGGAGGAAACTGGGGCAAAGGGGGTTAAGCGACTTGCCCAGAGTCACACAACTAGTGTCTGAGGTCAGTTTTGAACGCAGGTCTTCCTGACTCCAGGCCCTTTATTCACTTCACCACCTAGCTGCCCCAGCAGGTGCTTTATAAGTGTTTGTTGTTTTGAATTGTGTCAAAGAATTGTACGGTCAGGGCAGAGTTATTGGATCCTGGATGTCGACTTTTTCCTGTCGGTGCCTCTCTCTTTTCTAATTCTCCCACCTTTCCCCCACCCCCATTCTGCTCTTCTTTCATTTCCTTTCATCTCCCTACAAAAGGGGGTCTTAATCTTTTTGCTGTCATGGGCTTTTTTTGGTGGGGGCAGTCTGTTGAAGCCTGTGGACTCCTTAGAATGATGT